CACACACACACACACACACACACACACACACACACATAGGATTTTTATGAGCGTTTGATGCGATGTTCTAAACGTGAGAAAGAGAGAGAGAGAGAGAGAGAGAGAGAGAGAGAGAGAGAGAGAGACTTCTCTATACGCGTTTCAATTTCTTCGGTACGATTCTCCTTCTATATTTAAAGATACTTTTGATGGTATTTAAAAGTCGTACAAGTAAGTTAACGTATCACGCTCAGAAATATCGGCTGCTTGATTTCATAATCGCGATAATGACGTCATGATGGATGAAAGTGACATCCGAGAAGCCCCTGATGGCAGCTATGTGCGCGTAAGTATTCCTGACAATTACATCGACTTATACGTCGTCATTGTCTCTAGACATCTCTTTGTCCGCTTATGAAAACGCAGTATCTGTTTCTAATCGATAATACTAATAATTAACATGTTTAACATACATTTGTATTCACTGTAACTCTTCACAAATTATTAATTTGAAAAAGGATATTTGGGATTCTGAAAAATTATGATACTGTAAATACAAGTGTACAAGTAATTATGATTATCGATTTTATTCGCGGCCTTAACATGTTTCTGGATTATAAGGGAAAAGATGTCACATATGCGCGACATGCTTTAGTTGAGATCCAACAGCTTGTAAAATATTTGAAAACGCCAAGTAGTGAACTACTTTGTCCATTGCAATCACATAGTATAGTTTTTATCGATGAGTAAAACAAAGGCGGTTAGTATAGTTTCAGCCAAGACATATATTTGTTACATTAATTATTACATAGAATCTCTTTATGAATTATACGTTGATACTAAAAAAAAAAAAATCAATAGCTGAAGTGACAAGAACAGAAAATTAGTGAGCGACGTAAAAATCAGATAAAAGTCCAATATAAGGGTAAAACTATGTTGAGGAGATAGCGTGTACGGTATCTCGATCGACCGTAGGAATTGTCGCAGATGACGGTCATTATTTATGGTTGATTCATAAAGGGACGACGACAGATAAGCGCAAAATGATAAGCGCAAAAGGTATATCTTTGTGTTATGAATTTGATATCACAGGAATCTTTCTCTTCCTCTCTCTTCCTTTCTCATCGAGTATTTACAACTTAATAATCATTTTCCTTATCGTACGGCAGTAACACATATAAGCAATAACCGACTATACCGTATAAGGTGACTCAGTTAGTAACAGATATCATGAGTCATTTTTAAGTTCTCTTTCTATAACGAAATATTTCTATAACGTTACAGAATAATGTTTCGAGGATACTCTAAATCTACTTTGTTCGAGGAAATTGAACACTTTTTCCTTCGTTTTTCTTTTTTAACTGAAGTTGCGGCTTCAGCACCGCAAGACAAGGACAAAGTAAGCCGAAACCACCCTCCCATTATACTCACCAAGGATTACGCCGAAGAGCACGCCGGATAGGGTAACCATGAGCAGTAGGTTCTCTCGCATCCACTTTCTGGTGTCGGCGGTCACCTTGCGGGGACCCTGAGAGGCCGAGACGTCCTGCCCGCCCATCTTGGCGAACAGATATTCGGAAAATCGGGCAGAGGACTTCTCTTCCATCTCACTGGGCCGCCAGCAAACGGCGCACCAGGAGCGAGTACCGGTCTCGTACAGATAGGCCGATTCTCCCACCGATCCCCCCAAACTCCCTTCTCGCGATCTCTCGCGGCTAACGGCGGGGCCCCGACAGCACCACGACGACGACGGGTTGCCGTTTTGGGGATGTTTCGGTAAATCCGTGCGGAAGGACCAATCACTCACGCCTACCAGACGTTGAAGTAGCCTGACGGCCTTACGGGTGCCTATTAGCTCGATCGTGGTACCGGGTAAGGATTAGACCACCTTATTAGCGACGCTGATAACGATTAGTGGCTTTCAAGGGTCTTTCGCAAGGCGGCTTAATCTCCTCCCGTCGGCTTGTCTGACCTTGTGTATATATACAATATCTCACGTCAAGTCCGGAATCGCCCGAACGTGTGGCCGAGGATACGCGTATTCTTCTACTTGCGAGAGCAACTGATTTGGAGAAGACTGATGAGGAATCCTTTGATTTGCGGAAGGATCAAATTTGCAGAAGATTCTCGTCGCAAAATCGCTATAGTGACTTCTTGTTCGAGAGAGTCGAACGTAAGCGCTGTTGCACAAGGTCAGTTACCCGAGAAGAACCCCAAGCATCGAGTGCGAGGATACCACCGCCTCTTTCCTTCCGAACGGCGCACTTCGCTTCGAAAAGCTGAGATTCAGGATGGCAGGAACAAGATGGACTACCAGCACCAGCGTCTCGGCGTTACAACGACAATAACGACATGGAGTGCAATGGACTGTTCTGGAGAGTCGCTGACGTACTAATCGTGCGCGTGGACGTTTCGACGCGTTCCTCGCGAACTATGAGCCCCGACTGCCTGGTTACCGGCGGACATTGCCGTATTGATTTGTCAGTGTCTCTCCACCCCCGAACGTCTCTCGTGCTCCAGCCTGGAAACGGTAATGTACGCTTGCGCAAACTCCGGCGGTTAAGTCGGTCGCCAGAACGTGGATATGCACTACGCTGTTGCTGCGCGGTTGTGCATTGCAAAAGGATGCGAGACGGACAGGGGGAGATGAAGGGATGATAGCAGAAGGGAGGACGACAAGGGATGGAGTAGCGACGTGAGAAAGAAACGAGAGACAAGAAAAGTGAGGCCGCGCAGCGAAAGGCAACGAGAAAACTCTTCCGAGACGCAATATCCGAAAGATTCTAAATAGACGAAATACTACGTTCCCCTCACGGTGTAATCCGAAATGTAAATCCATCGTACATTGTCAAGGTTGGCTGGATATCGTGGAAGATGCGAGAGATACTCCGCTATTGATTATATATAACTAGTCGATATATTTATTTTAAGAATGGGATAATCCATTTTATTTTAAACACCTGCGGGCACACGTGACAGCTCGGAGTGTGAAACGTTTTACGTCATGACACGCTATAATGCACAATCTACGAAGTAGTAATAAAATAATCATGGTGTAATTCGATGCGATTTATCTATGCTTTTATCTGCACTTCTCTCTTTTTAATAAATTCACTTTTAAGATATCTTATTCGCAAAACTAGAAGTATTATTATAATTCCAAAAAAGCGTATAATTCCGATAACATCTCGATATTAGAGCATACGTTGTAACTATTAAGTGCGCTGAAATGCGCTTAAAAATTCGAACTATAACTAGCGTGCGTGTGCATGAGGACAGAAACTCAATAAATTCTTTTAACGCCTACAATTTTACCGTTCGCTTAGATCTATTCAAACTTACGGTTAAAGGATCGTTAAAGTTGATGAGGAACTAAGATAAAAAAACGCCCTCACTAAGATGGAACTTATAACGTCGACAACACTACCATCTATTACCGACAATATCGACCTTATGTAATACAGATACTTACGGAGCAAAGCATTAACGTCAAACCACATCATGTTAAATAAGACCTGACAAAATCACAATACCTTTCTCATATATTTTTTCATACACATACTCTCCTATATACAGATATTATATAAATACGAATGCAGTGCTACCAACATTCGCTCTTGTCCAAAATAAGCATTTGATACTTTCAGTAAATTGTGTAGATTGGATTTTTATAAAACAATTTTATAAAAGTTTTGACAGAAATATAAAATTCCAGGTGTACAATAGAAAAATTTGAAACACATGATAATATTCTCCTATCCAAATAAGTCATCACGGTGCAAACCGTATTCCCGTTCGATCACGCGTTCTCGAACAAGAAGCCCCGAAAGATTGTAAAATGACAGACAGGTAAGTTTCCAGGTGTGCAATAGAAAAATTTGAAATACATGATAATATTCTCCTATCCAAATAAGTCATCACGGTGCAAACCGTATTCCCGTTCGATCACGCGTTCTCGAACAAGAAGCCCCGAAAGATTGTAAAATGACAGACAGGTAAGTTTCCAGGTGTGCAATAGAAAAATTTGAAATACATGATAATATTCTCCTATCCAAATAAGTCATCACGGTGCAAACCGTATTCCCATCCGATTATCCGTTCTCGAGCAAGAAGCTCCGAAAGATTGTAAAATGACGGAAAGGTGAGATTCCAGGTGTACAATAGAAAAATTTGAAACGCATAATAATATTCTTCTATCCAAATAAGTTATCATGGTGCAAACCGTATTCCCGTCCGATCACCCGTTCTCGAGCAAGAAACCCCGAAAGATTGTAAAATGAGGGAAAGGTGAGATTCCAGGTGTGCAATGGACGGATTGGGCGACTGATGGAAGTGAGGTTTGGCGGGTTTCTGGCAAGGCTGCTAAAAGGGCCAAAAGAAAGGCTGCTCGTGAGAAGGTGCGAGCTAAGGAGGTCTCCCAGCGGACGCCGCGACCTGCTCGGGTTCGGGGGAGCGTGGATACTTCCTCTCAGCCGGAGGTTGGATCGCGAGTTGTTGGCGACAGAGCGGGCCTCTCGGCTGGTGGAGCGACTATACAATCCGGCTCAGCCCGTCCTCGACTTCGCACTAGAAGGATTCCTAGAACGGCTGCGGTCAGCATCAGATGTTTGAGTGACGGCCTTTCATATGCGGAAGCGCTCAGAAGAGCTAGAGAGCGAATCCAACTAGACCTGGATTCGTTGGGCCGCCAATGGGTCTGTTCTGGTGGAGGTGGCTGGCGCCGACCGCTCCGAGAAGGCTGATGTGCTAGCTGCAAAATTGAGGGAGGTCTTATATGGCGAAGCAATCATCACTAGACCTGTTGCTAGGGGTGAATTAAGGATGTGGGGCCTTGATGACTCCGTTTACTCCGATGAAGTGGTATCTGTGGTGGCTGAAAAGGGGGAGTGCTTACCCACACAGATTAAGGTTGGTTCCATTAGAAAGATGGCTAATGGGCTGGGCTCTGTTTGGATCCAGTGTCCTCTCTATGCGGCGGTGAAGGTGGCCTCATTGGGCAGGATCCGTATTGGTTGGACGATGGCGTGAACAGAGCTTCTACAAGCAAGACCGGTGCAATGTCTCCGGTGCTGGAGCTTCGGACATGTGAGACACGCCTATAAAGCCGAGGTGGATAGATCCCATGCCTGCTTTCGTTATGGGGGTGAGTGATTACATCTTGTCCGTGATTATGTGACGGAACCTCGTTGTATAGTTTGTGAAGCGGAAGGTCACGTATCCAAACATCGGATGGATACTACGGGCTGTGAAGAACGAATCAATGTACTACGGGCTGTGTGACCGAACGAATCAGTGCGCCCATTGTGATGATGGACCGGACTCTACTCAGCACACTCTCTAAGACTGTGCATCTTGGTCGACCGAGAGAGCAGAACTTCGGCGAGTGGTAGGAGCGGATTTGTCTCCATCTGCTCTAATCAGGGCCATGTTGGAATCGGAGGAAGGATGGATGGCTGCGATTCGTTTTGCGGAGAGCGTAATGAGGCAAAAAGAGGTTGCGGAGAGATTACGGCAAGTTAATGCTGTCTAATGACCTGTACCTTCCTTTAGAGATGACGTCCTGCTCTTTGTCTGGCTCAAACGTTGTCAGGTGTATGTTTCTCTCTGGCTCGCTTACATATTGCGTGCGCGTGTGTGTGTGCGTGTGCGTGCATATACATGTGCGTCTGTGTGCGCATGCATATTTATGCACATGGCCGAATCTGCTCTTGTTGGACATAACTAGCCTTGTACAGTAGAGCTCAGATCTTTTGCGGACTTATTTGTTGATATCTCGTCAGGATGAACGCGCGAGACTCACTTTCGACCTCCTGACGGTATTCGTGCACAATCCTCTCCTCTAACGAATCGGTGATGCAAGGCACAAACGACTGACGATTTGAATGTCCAATTGCCGTTAACACCAACACGAACGCCCAACACTCTTCTCAACTGCCTATTTCGCGACTCATTTTAGACGCTTATTTGACAACGTTTTGTCACGGCAAACACGCAAGACTTACTTTCGGCACTCTCGGTGATGATCTAAACACGACATTTCACATTCGGCGAGCCGAAATCGCCAGAATCACGGGACGAGTTTGTGAAATACGTTATTCCTCCGCGACGCGTTCGTTTTCACTGTTACCAATTCATGGGAAACATTCAACGTTACTTAAAATGGTCTGTTCTTTTCAGCTGCGCTGCTGAACTGGTGCAATAAGTTAAAGTGAGACAAGTATATCTCTTCTCACTCTAACTTATTGCACCAATTCAACGTGCAGCTGAAAAGAATAGACAAAAAATAAAGCTAAGACTCCATGCATGCCATGCATGCAATTATATTCTCACAATTCATGAATAATCGATTGTGATTGGTCCATTTTCTTACTGCTTATTTCTTACTTCTACTCCTACTGCCATTGTAGACGATGCATTAGATAGAATATTTCTAAAATCCTTAACATTGCAATAATGCTTTTAACACAATGCAAAATGAATTTAAAGCAAGCGGCACACAGTGCTTATTTTCATGCCGGATTGCTTACTGATTGGTGCATTTCTGAAGATGGATGAAAATACACCAATCAAAACAGAGTATTTCTATCCAGCAAGCAATCCAGCACGAAAACAAGCACCGTGTGCTTTACTAGAGAACCTCTAGTAAAGAGAATCACCACATGGTCATATGACCAGCTGATTGGCTGGCATAAACATGTACGGATTTGAACATTGCGACGCCAATGCAGAAAAGATGGTTATTATATACAAATATATGATTTTGCATAGGCATCGCAATGTCCGGATCCGTACTTGTTTATACCAGCCAATCGCAAAATAGCTACTTGGTGGCCTGTCCTAGTTCAGTTTAGTACAGTTCTAGTGCAGTTTTGTGCTTCGAAAAAGAACCAATTTTTTACTAGAGTAGAGACCTTTGAGAAGAAACTGGACATAACGGGGTTCGCGTGATTAGTACATGTGACTTTTGCTCACAAAATCGCAGCACCAACATAAGTTAGAGTGACAAAAACGTCGTCTCACTCTACTTATTGCACCAGTGCAGCAGTGCAGCAAAAAAGTACAGACACGCATTTCTTATGAGCGTATTCTCACGTATTTGCGCCGCCATTTTGTGGGTTTTGTCCAGTCTCTCTTCAAGGGTCTCTATACTAGAGGTTCTCTATGTGTCGCTGGCTTTAAAACGATGCAAATTAGTTCCAAAGTTCCCGTTATAAGCCGCCACTTTCCTGAACGAGAAGCTGAGGTCGTAGTCTTGATGCTTGAATGATTAAGACGACCATGTTTATTTTATTTTAATATTCCATAAATAACCAAATTTAGATCTTAAGTTTATATATTGTATAACACAGTAATAGATATATTGTATTGTATAAAATTCTAGAGAAAACATGTTATTTATCTTAAGTATGTAATCTAGAAGTCGGATAGGCTAGTACCTAGACCTGTACACTTTTATTGTACACCCTTTATTTCAATAAAAAAAAAAAAAAAAAAAAAAAAA